TCACAACCATCTCTCAACTCTATAACTCCGAAACACAAACCTTGACGAACAAGGCCACTGCGTTGAGAAAAAACTTGAGTGCAGCACTACCAGGGATGTGGTGGGGATCAAACTTGGAACTTCTTGCTTATGAGGCGAGCACTCTACCAATACACCAATACTGCATAATTCAAAAAAAAAACAAAATTTTAATCGGCCAGATAATTATTTATAGTTTACTTTGCCATTTTATCATTTCTGCCAATCAGTGTTGATCAGCAACATAGAAGTCATTGTGAGCACTGATGATCCCACATCTTTTTTATTATAACATAGTATATAAACAATAGTAACATAATATGAACTTTTATTTACTTAAAAATACAAGCAAAAATTAAAGTAAAAAACAAAATCAGAAAATGTAAATATTTTGATAAAAGAAATTTTGTGATTTCAGTGAGATTTCAAACCTATACATTATAGCAAATCCAACAATGTATGACATTTTTCTGAGTCAAATTACAAAACTAAAAATGGTTATAGGTATCTGTGATTGCTATTGTATTACAAGTTCACCTATCACTTCATAAGTCTAATAAAATATGTCAACAAAATAGGTCTCTAGTAATATCATATTTACCTTGCTTCTTCATGTAGAAATATATATGTATAAAAAATGTTTTCTACTAATTATATAGCAATTTTTTTTATTTTAGAGTCTTAATCAACAAACTAATGGACTAATGTAATCATCTAAAAATAATTTTTACATAGAAAAAAAAGTCAAAAACTTAAATAATAAAAATGTCTAAATCATATATATAATATATCTAAATATTTAATATACCTTTTTTCTTTTCATCATGAGCAATTTTACCTTTACTGCCAAATAAAAGCTCGTCCTGAAAAAGCAAACAAGTAAGTAATTGTGATTTACCGTTTGCAGCATATTTACATTAGTAAATTAATTTTCTTAGTTAATTTAGGTATCATTATAAGTAAAGTTGGTTTAGAATCAACCTGCTAATGATAAAATTTTTTTTTTTTTTTTTACATCTTTGCTTCCAACTAGGCTGCAAACAACCATTATAAGAGTTAGAAGTTACTGAAAGAGAAAAGATGAAGTTTGTAGAAAAAGATAACGATTGACAAATAAGAGATTTGGGAACACTTAGGATCAGTTAAAGAAAAAGGATGAGACTATATTGAATTACGACAAACACCAAAATGAATGTTAGTAGATGGTACATGAGACGCTAGCTCTTTAGAGCAGTGCCCATTATAGTATTTGTAGAAAAGTGAAAGAAGCAACAAATGGTTAGAGGTTGGCTGCAAGAGCAGGTCTAATGTTTACAACAAGCTTTTGCACCTTGTTAAAAAAAATAGAAAGGGCATCACTAGAAGATCTTCCCCAGTTTACATAGAAGAATAGATTTTAGATTTATAGAGATAAAGAATAGAATCCGAAGTACGAAAGTGTCCAGCTTGATAAACAGATGCAAGATAAACAGATGCAATATATATATATATATATATATATATATATATGTATATATATATATATATATATATATATATATATATATCTATATATATCTATATATATATATATATATATATATATATATATATATATATATATATATATATATATATATATATATATATATATATATATATATATATATATATATATATATATATATATATATATATATATATATATATATATATAGATATATATAGATATATATATATATATATATATATATATATATATATATATATATATATATATATATATATATATATATATATATATATATATATATATATATATATATATATATATATATATATATATATATATATATATATATATATATATATATATATATATATATATATATATATATATATAGATTGCTCTTTAAAGCATTATAGAATTTATAGAAAAGAGAAAGAAAAGCAACATTACAACAATGTGTCAATGGTTGAAGGTTGGCTGCAAGAGCAGGTTCAACAGAGTTTACATTGCATTTTTGCACCTTATCTAAAAGAAAAAGGGCATCATTAAAAGATCCAATCCAGATATGGCAATAGTATTTCATCCAAGGACAGTTTTGAGATTTATAGATATAAAAAATAGAGAATCCAGAACAAGAAAGTAGCATGCAATATAAAGAGATCCAACCTTAGCAGGTGCTAACTTTGCAATGGATTTGATATATGATTTCCAAGAAAGATCGGAAATAAGAGTTAATCCTAAAAGACAAAGGGTAGATAACTCATTGCATACATAACTATTCATAAATATAGGAAGATCTAGATTATTGCAATATATATATATATATATATATACATATATATATATATATATATATATATATATATATATATATATATATATATATATATATATATATATATATCAGGGTATTACCTATCCTGATGGCACCATGCATAACGCGGTATTCCCAATTGGTTTAAAATTCCAAAAGCCAATTGGTTTAAAATTCCCAAAGGTTTATAAGTTCATAGTAAAAAAAAAAAAAAATTCAATCTCAGATTTAAATATTTAATATATATTATTAAAAATAAGCATGCATGACAAAAAAATAAATAAATTGATCGTTTTTTTTTTATGTGTAAAAACGTGTCGTCATTAACAAACGTCGTTAACTTTAATATGATCATTCATTCAAAAGTTTGAAAAATACTTTTTTTTTTAATTTTTATTGACGTGACTTATTCTCGAGCTCAGATTTTTTAATATGTTTAACAAATTATTTTATAAACTTATATTTATTATTCAAAAATTCTTTATTTAGGTTTTTGCTGTTTATCTTAAGTTTGGAAAGTTCGCATATTAATAACTATTATACTTTTAAAAAAGTTAATTACGTTTTTATAATAAAAGATTTATTAATACTTTTGGTAATATAAATCAGCTAGTAAAGTAAACCGAAAATAACAACGAAAATAATTAAAAATAAAACTTGCAAGGAAACATATTATCTATGTTATATTTGCATAAAACATAAAAGAAGATAATTAAATAATATTATAATATTATTAATTATTAGCCAATATTTATAAATACAAATTTTTTTTTTTAATTTACAAATACAAACATTACGTAGATATTTAATGTATATTTGTAATTAAAAAAATAATAATAATTTTGTATTTAAATATATTTCTTATTTAAATACCTAACTTACTAGATATTTAAATATGCCGATTAAATTTTTTAGTATTTAAAGTTATATATTCAAATATATTTCTTCAGAACTAATCGTTTAAACCTGTATTTAAAAAGCGAATTATGCAATTAAAATAGATGTTTCAATGAAATTTTATAATTTATTCATTAAAACTGCAAACATTTGTCATTTGTTCTTATCTTCTCTCTACTATACTGCAGCCATTTTTCAAAACGCTTTTAGGTAAAAAAAATCAATTTTGACATTTTTACAAAATATGCTAGTTTAGATGTTTACAAACGTTATTAAATACATATTTTCAAAGAGCTCTGAAAAAATATAAAAATTATTAGTTTCAAAAAGCGTTTTATAAAGAGTTAATAATTATTTTTCTTTAATTGCGCTTTTCTCAAAATATGTAATTAAGGTGTTTTGAAAAACGGCTGCAATATATAAAAAAACTAAGAAAAGAAGCGATTTAAATGAAAACTTTAGAAGATTGCTCATAACAAAACAAGTTAATTAATTAAAATTAAACATATATAAAATAGAAAAATAATCCTGCAGTAAAGGTAACTCCTTGCAAAAATAGAAAATTTATTTTGATTAAAATTTAATTGCAGAATGTTTAAGTTGAGCATCTAATAGCAATTAGATGCTCAAATAAAAATTTGAGTTTTATGATTCTCATCTTTAACTTTTAGATATATTAGTGCTTCAATTAAAGCTGACTTTGTAGAAGTTTAACAATGCATTTTGACAACAATGTAATGCTATAAACATTAAACTTTAATTAATTAAACTATAATATAAACTATAATTAATGCGGTAGTTATGTAGTGGTAGAGCGCTCGCTTCATAAGCATGAGGTTCTAAGTTAAATCCCCACCACATTCCTGGTAGTACTGCACTCAACTCATTACTCTGCGCAGCGGCAGTCATAGAGTTGAAAGAGGGTTATAACCACAAACAAGTAGCCTCTTTGTCTTTTTATTTGGAAACACTGATGAAGGATTAGTTGGTCTCAAGTTACAATTTATACAGATATAAAGTAAATTCAGCATCATCTGGTCAATGCAACTTACCAACAATACTATACTTTGTTAATGTCCAGTGTGAGCAAGAGATACTCATAAACCACTTTTTTTTCAGATGATTCATGAGGGAATTTGTGTAGAGATATTTTACAATCTGAAGACTTATAACTTGAGAAAAAAACTTGATACACATTTATTTATATATATATATATATATATATATATATATATATATATATATATATATATATATATATATATATACATATATATATATATATATATATATATATATATATATATATATATATATATATATATATATATATATATATATATATATACATATATATATATATATATATATATATATATATATATATATATATATATATATATATATATATAAATATATATATATATATAAATATATAAATATATAAATATATAAATATATATATATATATATATATATTATATATATATATATATATATATATATATATATATATATATATATATATATATATATATATATATATATATATATATATATATATATATATATATATATATATATATACATACATAGGGTGCCCAATCACAAATCACATTGATTCTATTAATTTAGTTTTTTAGCCAATTTTTTCATAGTGTACTGTTTGTAAAATTTAACAAAAAAAATCAAAAGATAAATAAAATTTGTTTTAAAATATGAATTCAAAATATAAATTTGAAGGATAAAGAAAATAATTTGTGAACTATATTTTTATGAATATGTAAAATGTATTAGTTACATTTAATAAATGATTTATAAAAACATAGTTTTAAAGTGATTTTCACAAATCACTTCAAAACTAAAATTTAAAATTATTTAAACAGACCTAAATTTTGTTTAATTATTGATTGTTTTAAGTTTAAGTATTTCTTACCACTGAAGAACTTTTGTTTAAAGCTCTATATTTTGTTTTAGAACCGATGTTTCCTACTTTAGACCCGCTACTATGACACTGGTCGTGAGGATCAGATGAATTCAGTGACATTTTAGAAAACTAAAAAATATTTTTAAAAAATGAACAACGACAATTTATAAACTTTTTTAAAGGAAAAACATTTTATATAAATAAAAAGTACCATATTTATTAGGGAAAACAGTGAAAAATGGTGTCACTTGTTCTGATTTTCATGTTTTTAGTCTCCGCCATACCTGGATTGATTTACAAATTAGTTTAACGATTTAAACTATTATTTTTATAAGATAAATGGAGTAACCACGGCTAATGTTTGTTGCATAGTTACACAAACAAAATTTTTGCCTCGTTTTTATGAGTGTCGTTAAAAATTACATTTTTTTTTTTTTTTTTTTTAGCCTAATCCTAACCCGGGCGGACTTGATAACGTAAACTTTGCGTTACAACTATCTGTTATAACTAATCTAGTTAACAGAACAGCCGTCGCGCAGTGGTAGTGGACCTGCCTCAGAAACCTAAACTTAACTTATCTGACTTCAAATGTTTATTTTAAAGTTAATTCAAATAAAAAAAAAATTATTTATACCAATGAAATTCAAGTAATGATGTTAAAAATTCATCTTGTGATATATTATTTTTTTATTTAAAATTTTTATTTAAAATTTAAAATATTATTTTTTTATTTAAAATTTTTTGCTTAAATGATTTTCAAATATTTTACCGGTTGTTAGCATTTCAACAATTCTTAATTATTTGCTATTTTGAATTTCTTAATTTTCTCAGTTACTTTCTGTTTTAATTCTGATCTATATTTTATATATTTGTATTATATATATTTGTATGTTACGGTTATGTAGAGTTTTTTTTATGTGTGGGGCTCAGCGATATATGTATATGCAATTTTAATATATGTATATGCAATGTAAACATTCTTTAACGGCGAAATAAACTACACCAAATAAAAAAAAAAAAAAAAAAAAAACCATCTAATAGCAATTTTTGCCACATCGCTTTGGAAATAAACATAGCCTTCCTATTAAATGCTCTTCCACGGTGCTCTGTGATAAGACCGTAAGGACTACTTAGAGCACCTAGTAGTTACTGTCATTAAATATTCAAATTGTCTACTATTAAAAAAAATGTATTTAGTTTACCTTGGTGTACTTATAGCGGGTTAATCAAGTTACAGCCAACCACATAGTAGACGAATGGTGTTGCATTTTTTGTTGTTGTTTAAACAGTTATTAGCTTCGTTTTATTCAAATTCTCTCTTACACAAGTTGCTAGATGGCACTTGTGCATGTTTGTAATAATGAAAGTTTAAGCAGCCTTAGCGCAGCGGTAGCGTACTTGCCTCAGAAACAATGGACCCGTGATTTAAACCCCTCCTCTGAACAAGTTTTGCAACATCGGTTAGGAAGGAGACGTTAACACCCAATTAAATGCTTATCCGCGGTGCTCTGTGATAAGACCATGAGGATTTCTTGGGGCACCTAAAAAAAATTAAAAAAGTTTATGTAATTCATTCTCAAACAGTGTCAGACACAAAATGAACATTGAAAATGAAAAAACATTTAAGTAACGTGTATTATGAAAATATATTTCTTCAGAATTTTTTTATTTCAAAATTATTTTTTATTTCAGCAGAAAGAAATTGGTTTATATTATATTCTTATCCATGAGCAATAAATCTAAAACTAAAAATATTTGCAATAAATGTTTTTTCCTACTAATTTTTAACTGTTACATTCATATTAAAAATTTAATTTTTTTTTTTTTTTTTTTTTTATTATTTAACAAATAATAAATACCGGGCCAAAAAGAAAATAATATTTGTTTTCTACCATGTCACTACGCTTTGTAATTCTTTTTTTTTTTTTTTTTTTTAATATCACCAAATATTTTATACAATTCATTAGTAAAATTATACAATTTTACTAATGAAATGTATAAGTTTACTACAATATAAAATAATGTAAACTTATATTGAGAGCATATATTTTCCTATAATTCAGTCATAGATTTAGTCTAACAAACTCTTGCGGCTTAATTGGTCAAACGACATAATACACTTTATTAAAAATATATACATTTTTAAATCAAGAAGTTCTTATAGTCTTATCACAGTGTACCGAGAAAAGTATCTAACAAGCATATTCACGCCTCTTTCCTTACTAATGATGCATATTTAGCCAGAGATGGCTTTGAATTAAGGTTCTGAAGCCTGAACTCTAACCACTGTACTATTTCAAAGTTGTTTCAAAACTACTATTTCAAAGTTGTTTCAAAACGAGGCAATCTCTATTAATGAAAGTATAAAAAATATATTTTGTTGCCAAGTTTATAACTTTTTTCAATAAATTTCCATTTCAAAAATTATCAAATTTAGTTACGATATATATATTTTAATAATGTTTAAAAGAATAATTTTTTTATTAGCATAGTTAGTTTTAGTAAACAAAAAAATTGCAAAAATAAAAAATTTTAACAAGTTTTTACATTTTTTAATGCTAAAACTATTAAAACTATTAAAATTTCACTTTCTTAAAACAATAAGTATGAACTCTTTGTTTTAAGGGTTTATAGGCTTTAGTGTGTAGCTTATAGATAGAATAAAGAAAGATGTTTAAAAAAACAAAAAGAAGTCTTAAGGTGAAATTTAAATGGCTATATAACGTTTCAATCCTGAGGTTGAAATTCTGATCTCGAAGTAGAAGCCATATAAGGTTTTGCCATTGAAATACATGTATATTCATTTGAAAAATGACGTTGCTAAGGCGGTTGCTATTGTCTTAGAACTTAAACATCTTTATCTAGAAGAGCTTGAATGCACATACAAATTAGACCAACTGCTCTTAACCTTTCCTTGGAAATTGACTATAATTACATCGTAAGCCATAAATAAATACTTTTCCAGAGGGCACCTAAATAAGACGTCTTTTAAACGTTTAAAAGATGTCCAAAACGTTCAAAAGACGTTCAAATAACGTTTTTTTAAAGTCCTGTGCCTACTGGGTTAACATCTGAGCGCGTAATGTCGATAATCGATAAAACACGGCTAAATAAGAAAGGTCTGAGGCTTTATGCCGACAAAATAGTTTGAGGCGAATATTCCATCGTTTGAGGTGTTATTCCATCGTTCAACCAATGATTTAAAATTCAATAACTTATTATTTGTTTATTACAAAAAGGAGAACCACACCTTCATAAAAGTACCAAAAATATTTTTTTGAGATTTTTATTTTTATTTTTAGAAATAATTTGGTTCAAAAATTAAGGTCATTTGTTAACCCAAATATTTTTGAAAGTAACAAGTGTTTTTTTAATTTCATAATAAAATCAAATATAATTATACCTTAATAGTGTGCATATTTTTGAATAGTAAGCGTTGATCACACAAAAAATATGCCTCCCACCAAAAGGTTAACTGAAATTTTTTTTTTAGCTTTTGGCAATTTTGAAGATTTAACTCGTGAATTTTCAAGTTGGAAATTTACTTTCTGAAATTAGTTTATTGTTTTAAAAAATCCTTTTTGCATTTCCATTAAATAAAATTTTATTCAAGTACTGCCACAAATTTATTTTGTCAAAGGTGGGTTGTTTCCTAGTCATTAAAATTCCATTTACTATAAGTTTTATTGGTAGTATATTCTTAATTTTGAATATGAACGGTCTTGTTTATTGAATATGAACGGTCTTGTTTTTGTAAAAAAACAGAAGCGTTAAAAAAAAAAAAAACCTTAAAAGTCATACAAAAAAAATTCTTAAATTTTGTGGTTTAAAAGTTTCATAAGTTTTCGACTAATAATAACATAATGACAAGTTTGTTATTTTTTAACTGTTAATGTTTAGCTTTAACTTATGGTTTTTGTTTTGTTTTCATTTTACATTAAAAAAAAAATGTTGAAGTGCTTACCATTAATAGGAAAAAGAAGACCTATGGGTTTGGCTATTTATTCACTGCCACAAGCAATAAACTGATTTTCCGTAAGTTATCAGTTTAACAATATGTTTTGTAGTAACGTTATTTAACTAAATAATTAAAACAGCCAGTAGTTTCAATAGTGTCATTTATTTAAATTAACTTAAAATATAAACATTTTTTTTTTGATAAAAAATAAATGTTTATTTACAATCGCTCGAAGTTCTTAAAAAGCAATATCAGTTGTATTGTATTTTATTTTTCAAGTTACAAAACGAAAGAATTGCAATTGAAACTCCATTCATTCAAAGTTTATACAAATAATTGGTGCTCTTACTAAAAAGTTTCTTGCATAGCCGACGACAAAAGTTTCGAAGTGTGTGTGTGTGTGTGTGTGTGGGGCGGGAGGGGGGGGAGAGGGAAGGGGGAGAGGGGGTGAACAATAATCAATTTCTGAAAAATGTCGTCGATCTCCTGAATTTTCTAAAAAAAATAAAACAAAAAGGCCTTAAGAAAAAAAGTGGTGGAATTGGTGCACCCCCGGCGTCGTCGGCCCTGTCTCGTTAAAATTTGAAAAAGTTTCCGAACCGTTATCAGTTTTTTCTGGAAGAGCAAATTTATTTTTTTTTCTTTGCAATTACGACTGGCGCGATGGTGTGGACTCCCCCAACCCCCATTCATTAAAGACTTTTTTGTTCATTTAGTTAGCAAATTTGACCCTTTTAGACAAATTAGCCCGCAAATGTAGACACTTTAGACCAGTTAGTCGGTAAATTTTGACAGTCAGTCGGGAAATGTCGACCAGGAAGTTGTCAAATTTAAAATAATGAGGACCTTATTTTTGGGGGCTGCAAAAAATGTAATGGCAAACCCCCTTCCCCACGTTATACCTATTTTTATTTATTTTTTGTTATTGTTTTTAGGTGCCCCAAGAAGACCGTAACGGTCTTGTCACAGAGCACCGCGGAAGTGCATTTAACCAGAAAGTTCACGCCTCCTTCTTTACCGTGACGCGAAAATATGTCCAGACCTACTCGCGCTGACCCTGTACGCAACTAACATGAATTTTTTTGTTTTGTTGTTATATTGGTTTAGTTTAGCTGACAATCGAAGTGAAAAAAAAAAATAATAATAATAATAAAAAATATGAATTGAAGTTCTATGAAGATTAAATCACATTTACACAAATTTTATTTTCTGAGTGAAAAAAAAAAGCATTTGTAATTGTTTTTTTTGGCAAAAACTTAGTTTAGGCCGAAATTAAGTTTTTTCCAAATATTTTTTTTTAAATTCAGAATCAAAAGTTCTTTAAGGACTGACAAAGTTATTCTGGGTCTTCAAAGAATATTAAGCTAAAATTAAGAATAAAGAAAAATAAATTAAGAGTAAAGAAGAGTATTAAGCTAAAATTAAGCAAAAAAAAAAGAGAAATTTTATATTCTATTAGAAGGATATTTTTTTTTCAAAAGGGATATTATATTCTATTAGAGGAATAAAAAATTTTGCTCCACGCTGAGTCAAAAAACCAAGAAAAAACAAAACAAACAAAAAGTAATGTTTTTATTAATTTATTAAATGCATATATGCATTTAATAAATTAATAAAAACTTTTATATAAACGTAAATAAGCGTTTTAAATAAGCGTTTTAACTGTAGCTTCTGCTTCTATCGAAGAATTCGAACGCATTTTGTTTACTCGATTTTTTAAATTAAAGGAATTTCCTTAGGTTTGGTAAGCTCTTTTCGTATTCGATTTTTTAAACGCCACTTTTGTTCAAACGCATTTTTTCATATACTCGTAGCCACACTTTATGGATGTCACGAATTTGCAGTTTTGAAGAAAAGACACGAGTTAAAAAAAAGGTATTTTCCACATGTCAAAACAAAGTAATCATCATTACGGTAAACGTCCGAACAGGGTTGCAGCACAAACTTGTATTTCCCTGTTAGCACTCCGTTAAATCAGACTGCTAGCACAAACAGCAGGGAGGTTCTAATGACATAGTATACGCAAACTCATTTTTAACTTACTCAAGCTCAACAAACGAGCCATTACATTGAGAAAACAATTATCGCGTTAGCCTACATACACGTAAAAATGTAAAAAAAAAAAAAAAAAAATGTTGACGTAATTTATAAATGTTTAGTGGTTATGACAGATGAGCCATTACTTTTTTGTTGGTAATTAGGTTGCATAAATAAAATTAAATAAGAACTTGTATTCAAAATAGTAAAATTATTTCATATACAAAATGAGATAATAACAATTAAAAATTATGTGCTAATTTATAAATAATCATGTAATATTTTTTAATTGTTTTGAGAAAGTTAAACAAAAAGACTTTTAAAAAAAGACTTTTTAGAGGATCAACAAAAGAGTTCTTTTGAAAGTTATAGGCTTTTTTTTCTAGAAACCTAGAACCTAGAATTCTAAATATTAGGGACAGGTTGGAAAAAGCAATATGCGATCGCTGTTCCAATATAAAAATGATTGTTTATATATGATTGACCAAAGATACGGAATAAAAAATTCTTCAGCAGACTCTTCTTCCAAATAACGAAACATCAATGCAGGAAACTTCTATAAAAAATACAAATTTAATACGTCAATGCAAGATGTAAAAATCTTATGTAAATAAAAAAACATTAAAATAACGATGACAGGAAACAGGAAAAAAAAAAAGATAATTGTCCTAAAATTACTAGAGTACAGTAAAAAATTATGCGATGTCAAATCCTACGTAATAGACGCTATGAGAACAGCCATTCTCACTGTTTTTTTTAGATACAACAAAGTGCACTATGGCTATCCTCCTCATTAAATCCCAGTAGCATACCAGAAGAATATCTGGTCCCTATCGCTCAACTAGAGGATTCTTAGAAAAAAGTTCATGTTAATTGAGATCCGAAATTTAAACTTGTAATGTTTAAAAGTAGCTCCTTAGATTAAAAGCAACATATTATATCTAATTATGAAAGCTATAACATATTATATTTAAATATGAAATAAAAAACTTGGTAGTGCTCATTCGTGACAACTGAGCTAAAAAGCATCCCATAAAAAAAGATTTAGGCGAGAAAAGTTTTAATAGCATCTTTTTTCTATAAGAATTAATACATATATATATATATATACATATATATATATATATATATATATATAGGGTAAAGTAGGGTAATTTCGGCAGGGAGATAATTTTGGCACCACTTCAAAAGACACCTAAAAATATCTATTTAATGAAATATCAAAACTATAATTGAGTATTATAGAAAGATAAACAGTTTTTCTAAAAATATTAGTTTAAACTTCTATTTTTACATTATAGGTACGTTATTTTATGATTATTAGGTTTTTCTTAACATTTTTTCCTTTTTGAAAATAGAGGATAAATGATTTTTTCCGAAAATTTCTACCAAAAATTTGTATTTATTTCATTCAAAAATATATACTGAACAAAATGTGAGCAACAATAAAATTAAACTCAAAGTATTTTACAAGATATAAGAGTTTCCCCTAGGACTGCTTTAAGGAGATAATTTCGGCTTATAAATAGTTCTTAATTTCGGCAGTGCCGAATTTGCCGACCTGTTGTTTCTCCAAAACTAAAATGGAAATAAGCGTTTTAAATATGATGTATAGAAGAAATTGATTTTAGTAACTCAGATAATAGTAAACTAATAACGAGCTAGTAAAAAAGTGAATTTAGTTAGTGACACTGTGAAACTTATCAAAATAAGAGTTCCCCACAATTTATTTTAAATTTAAGTCATACATAACAATATGTATATAATAAATTTATAATTTGTTATATAAAATAATTATTATTGTATATAACAAATCATTTATTAATTATATACATACAGTTGAATATTATTGAATAATATACATATAATAATAATAATAATAATAATAATATATATACATTTATATAAATATATATATATATATATATATATATATATATATATATATATATATATATATATATATATATATATATATATGTAAACATTATTTTACAGCATCATATAATGAGTTCAAAACGTGTAAAATATGGTAATTGGTCACAAGAATCATTAAAAATGGCAGTAAATGCAGTTTTAGTTGATGGTTGCTCGAAATATTCTGCTGCTAAACAATATAAAATACCAAGACAAACACTACCTGACTATATAAAACGAGCACCTGTTGATAATTTTGTTAAAAAGTTACGTGCAGGACACCCAACAACACTCTCAGCTTTTCAAGAAAAAGAGCTCGTAGAAGTTCTTCTGACCATGTCACAGAGATTGTTTGGTTTGTCTCCAAAAGATGTAAAACAAATGGTATTTCAGTTTTGTGAAGAAAATAGAATTATTCACAAATTTAATTGTGAAACTAAGTCAGAAGGAAAAGAATGGTTTAGGGGTTTTTTGAAACGCCATAATGAACTCTCTGTCAGAGTTGCTGAGTCAACGTCATTGCATCGAGCCATTGGTTTTAATAGAATAAAAGTTAATCGTTTTTACGATGAACTAGAAAAAATATTATTTTATGAACTACTTATGAGCTTTTAAACATAAATTCTTATTTAAACAGAATTTAGAAATAATCATCGAAATCGTAGAAATTAGTAATCGTTTCATTAACAATTATACTTTGGAAGCACATTTATATTTAATAAGGTTTCTGTTTTGGGTGACATTCATACCTTAATAAAAAAGATGACATTCATACTTTAAAAATACATGACATTCATACTTTAATAAAATAAATAGGTGGTTCAAAAATTATTATTTTTTGCAACTGAAACGCCCTTAGTTAAGTGCCAATTAGGTGTAACAAATTCTATTTAAGAGACAATTCTTTATACAATCCAGATTTATAGCTGTTTATAATATTTTAAATATATTAATGCATTTTCAACAAACTTCTTAATTTTCATAACTATGCCGAATTTACCGTACCATAGTGCCGAAAATACCATACTAGGTCGCTAATTTCGTCATTTTTGAGTATTTTGTAAAACAGGTTTTACGTAAAACTTTGTAAGTTGGAAACAATTTTTTAACTATTATTTAATAGATATATCTGCAGTGTATCGATATGCATGATTTTTTAACATTATTAAAGCAACCGTTGTCTATAAACAGCAAAATAGCTTAATACGCCGAAATTACCCTACTTTACCCTATATATATATATATATATATATATATATATATATATATATATATATATATATATATATATATATATATATATATATATATATATATATATATAAATTACATGAGTAAGTATGTAACTTAAAGTTGCGTAATTCTAAAAATTTAAAATACGCAAATTTAAACCCAATTAGTACTAATGAAGTAAATGAAACTGTACTAATGAAGTAAAGAAAAAAAAACATAACTTAAACTTTTTATGACAATAATATTTAATATATTTTTAATATTTATTAAATTTATTAAATGAAACTAGTACTAATGAAGTAAAGGAAAAAAAACATAACTTAAACTTTTTATGACAATAATATTTAATATATTTTTAATATTTATTAAATTTTCGCATAAACCTTAAACTTGGTTCACTGTTTTTTTTTTTTTTTAAAGCCCCCAAAAAGTCACATAAAATTTATTTTAATAATGAATGGAAGTTGAAAATGTTACCTAAATTTTTACTCTTTAAGATTGCGCTTTAATATTCACAAAATATTTTGCTGTTAGGGCGACTGAGCTTAAAGAGTAAAAACAGAGACAACTAGCCCTGGTCACCCCTACTTTACAACAGTTTAAATAAAACCAGTTTTAATTTTAATAATCATACCACCATTTTTTGTATGGGAAAAGCTGCTGAAGATTGTTTTATCGCGGTTAAAATACTATCGGGACTATCACCATATTCTGCTAGCTCATTCACATTTTTTCCGAAGTAAGAAAATATCTAATAACAAAAATATTAGTTATAAATAAGAATAAAAAAAAGATGAAATAGCTTCATAAAAATAAAAATTTTGAAAATTATAAAAATCTTTAAAAAAGTTTTTATGTCGAAGTATTTGACCAAAAAATATTCTTTGCAATCTAAGAAAATCATAATTCATAATCATATTTATGAAAATATAAATTCTCTGAACTTTTGCTTGAAATTCTTAATTTAATAACGAAAAATAGTAAAAAAAAAGTACCAAGTGTACCTTCAACAATATTTAATGACATTTATTTTAGTAAAATACCAATGGCACCAATAAAATCATATATTACAACACACTTACATTAGCAAGAAATTTTCAAGAAAATTAGGTAAGGTTTGTGCTTTAATAAAGCTGAGAATTTAGTGACATGAAGGTCAAAATTAAAAAGTTCTAATGAAGGTCAAAATTAAAAAGTGTTTCAAATTACAATTGTAATGATGATATTTTATTATAATCAAAAAGCATTTATTCAAGGAGCTGAAGTATTGTTATAAGGAATCATAAATATTATTAGTTTTCTTTTCTTTTTCTTTTTTTTAATGGGGGAATTTTTATTTTGATGGGTCTTCTATGTAACTACTCTGTACTCCCATGAACCCAGAAAGGTTTAAGCATTTTGAAGCATTTAACATTGTAACAAATCTAATTTTGTAACAAAATTTAATTAAAAAAATAATTTATAAATTTAAAGTTTAAATTTAAAAAAAAATGGTTTTCACTTTAAATCGATTCTAATTGGACGTAGCAACTTATGTAAATTGGCTTGAGAACACAAAAAAAAAAAAAAAATTAATATTAAAAAGTCTTAAAAAATTATATACTTATGATTGATATAATATTTTTATTAAAAGTGATAAAAAATTTTTTCTTAAACTCAATATAAGCTTTTCCATTTATTAATATGAGAATATCAAATTTATTACAATAACAATTATACAATAAATATTTTTTAAACAATCAGGTTTCACAGAAAATCCAAAGCTGCTCAAAAAGAAAGGTCAATTTCAAAACCAGTGGTCTGTTGCAAGCAATAAAAAAAAATGTTTTTATAAAGACTGGAATAAATAATTGTATTGTTAGCAAATATATATACTATATGGGTAATATTGTCAAGAAATTAGTTTAGATAAGAAATAACCAAAGACCAGGTGTCCTTAGAGGGCAATATTTTTGTTATATTGTTTTCAAAAATATTATTACAATATGGAAACAAAATTGTGGTACCAAAGAGGAAATAAAGAAGAGTGTAGTATGGAATTCAATCTTCAATAGTAACTTTAATATTTCAAAACAAAATAAGAAAAAAAAGGTTAATGCAACAATATGGCTTGTTTTTTCTGTATTTCATCTGTATTTTAGTTTTTTTAAAAAAAATCAGTTTAAATTTAAAACTCACCTTTTTTTATCCTAGAGAAGCAGCTGCAAAATATACCTGCAAGCACTGTGTTAAAAAGCTTTTGATATATTAAGAGTATTAGACTTTTTCTCACATCATCCAATTTAAGCTAATAAAATCTTTATTTATCATGCTTATCAAATCAGAAGTAAAAACAAAATTTTGTGAGATGTTAATGAAGTTAAAGTATTTAAAAAGCTTAAGTACTAAGTACCTAGCAGACATTATGAGAGTCATTGCTTCAGAATCTTAAGATCCAAGGTATATTATTACAAGCCTGGGCATATTTGTAACATTGGTAAGAAAGTTGTGAACATCCTAGTTGAATATTCTTCCACGGTCCTCTGTGATTAGATGCTTCTAAAGCACCTAACAACCAATAACCTAACAACCACAAAAAAAAAAAAAAAAAACTGTAAAAGAAATTATATAAGATTTAATAGTAAATTAATTGAACAATAATTTCAGGGTCGTAGCCATCCCCACCATTTTTAAATAAAGAACCATTTAATCAAATGAACCATTTTGCTGGCTACACTTCTCAAAAATTTTAAATAGAATCATAGAATCAACATTTATGAGAACTATCACCAAAAAAACCTGCTGACCTCACAACCACCTCACAACCATTTAAACTAAATTTTAGTGCTGAATTATTATTAAGAGATTATTAGGAGTTGAATTTTAGAGCTGCTAAAGATAAAACTGTCATTAAAAAGATAATTAAGAGAGTTGTAATAGCTATTAGTAGTTATAAAATTTAAAAAAAATAAAGACAAGAACATTTTTACACATATTTACATTAAAAACCAGCCAATTGAGGGAAGTTGAAGTGCATGGATGAAAAACATAAATTTTTCACATAAAGTCTTTACCTTTAAATCAAAAATGTTATTGGTCTTTGTTTTGAAGGCAATTTTTGCTCTTTACAAGACAATAGCGAGATTTATTTTAAATTCATACTTTATTAAACAGTACAAGACAATAGCGAGATGTAGCTTAAAAATTATACTTTATTATTATTCAATCTGGCACAAATTGGTCTTTAATATTTAAAGATCCCAATTAAAATTTAATTTTTTGTAGTCTGTTAGTTGTTTTTTTTCTGTCAGTTTTAATTAGTTAACTTTTCTATTTGACATATAGATGCTCTTCTGAAATCACAGTTTATATTTAGCAGTTGTAATATTTGTTTATTGATGATTTAATCTTCAAATTTTAATTTTATTTATTTAGTATTTTCACTTAAGTACAAAATTTTATTCACTTTTTCCATCTTGGCACACATACCTTTATATATATATATATATATATATATATATATATATATATATATATATATATATATATATATATATATATATATATATATATATATATATATATATTATTTTTTTTTTTTTTTTTTTTTTTTTAACATCTTCACATCTTCAGCACAAGGCTGCAAGCAACCACTATAAGAGTTGGAAGTTACTGGAAGAGAAAAGACTAAATCTGTAGAGCAAGATAGCGATTGATTGATGACTTAAATGATTGCAAATTATATGAATCAGGGAAGCAAGATGACGGAAGCGAATTCCAAAGAACTGATGTTCGAGGAAAAAAACTAGAAGAATAAGAGTTTTTGAAGCACTTAGGAACAGTCACAGAAAAAGGATGAGACTTAATTGAATGACGAGTAACACGAGAATGAATTTTAGTAGATGGCACAAGGGACGCTAGCTCTTTAGAGCAGTGCCCATTATAGTATTTGTAGAAAAGAGAAAGAGAAGCAACATCACGACGATGTGACAAAGGTTGGAGATTGGCTGCCAGAGCAGGTCCAACTATGTTTACAATGCGTTTTTGCACCTTGTCTAAAAGAGAAAGGGCATCATTAGAAGATCCGCCCCAGATGTGGCAACAGTATTCCATACAGGGACGGATTTGAGATTTATAGAGATAGAGAATAGAATCTGGAGTAAGAAAGTGTCGAGCTCGATAAAGAGATGCAACCTTAGCAGATGTTAATTTTGCAATGGATTTGATATACGGTTTAAAAGAAAGATCAGAAGTAAGAGTTAATCCTAGAAGATGAATGGTAGATGACTCATCTAGTACATTACCATTCATAAATACAGGAAGATCTAAATTATTACGATAACGATTGGCCCAATAAAATTAAGTTTTATCTGAATTAAAGTTCACCAGCCACTGTGAGCCCCATGCTGTAGCAGAAGTGAGATCATTTTCAAGCTCAGATACCTCCTCCAGGCAATCAGAGAGTGTAGGCTTCTTATCATGACAAGAGTAAATGGTAGTGTCGTCAGCGAATAATGCCACCTTAGATGTGAGAATATCTGGGAGATCGTTAATGTAAATTAAAAAGAGTATAGGGCCAAGGATTGAACCTTGAGGAACCCCTGAAGTTACAGGATATAAAGAAGAGTGTTGTCCATCGAGGACAACTTTTATACTACGATTGGAAAGAAAGGACTCAATAATCTTAAAGATGTTACCAGATACACCATAAGAAGAAAGCTTATAGAGAAGACCAGCATGCCAAACTTTATCAAATGCTTTAGAAATGTCAAGTGCGATAGCCTTAACCTCTCCACCTCTATCTAATGCACGGTAAAACCTATCGGTTATTACTGTTAGCAAATCAGCTGTAGAAGGAGAAGATCGAAATCCATATTGATGATCAGAAAGTAAGTTATTTGATTCAAGATGAGAGATTAAGTGTTTGTTGATTAAAGATTCAAAAACCTTGCTTATGACAGGAAGAAGACTAATGGGACGGTAGTTAGATGAATCAGATCGCTCTCCGGAATTTTTGAAAATAGGGATAACAGATGCTGCTTTCCAGCATGATGGAAAACAGGACTCTGATAAGCACTTGTTAAATAGTTTTGAAAGTATGGATGAAAGCTCCGGAGAACACTTCTGCAAGACTACAACAGGAATGTTGTCAAGACCACAAGCTGTTGAAGAGTCTAAGCAGGAAATTACTTTTGATACAGAAGCTGAAGTGATGCGAATGTCAAGCGAGGGATCAACCTGTTTGACGGCTATGTCAGGTAGAACGCAACTAGTGGAATCGAGAGATGATATTGATGAAAAGTTCTTAGCAAACAATTCAGCTTTGTCTTTAGGTGAGGTGACAAAGTCTGAACCATACAAGAGAGAAGGAATAACAGATTTGCCCTTATTATTGATACTGTTAAAGATTCTCCAGAAGTCTCGAGAGCCTAATTTTTGTGATGAGATACGAGATTTTATGACCTGAGAGTAGCGAGCTTTGGCGTCAGACAAAACCTTTTTACAATGGTTTTCTTTATATATATATATATATATATATATATATATATATATATATATATATATATATATATATATATATATATATATATATATATATATATATATATATATATATATATATATATATATATATATATATATATATATATATATATATATGTATATATATATATATATGTATATATATATATATGTATATATATATATATATATATATATATATATATATATATATATATATATATATGTATATATATATATATATGTATATATATATATATATATATATATATATATATATATATATATATATATATATATATTTATATATATATATATATATATATATATATATATATATATATATATATATATATATATATATATATATATATATATATATATATAGTGAAAAAAAATGTTTGTGTAAAATAAAAATAAAAAAAAAACTTACAACAGCAATATTGGTAACAATATTTTTAAACTTTGGTTTTGTAGCTAATCCATCAAAAAGTTCTTTGTTTCGAAGTAAAGAAAGTATGAGATTTGAACTTTCTTCTATATTCGCAAACAAAGATGCATTGATAATTTCTAATAACATGTAAATTATTTCTTCCAAAACCTCGACATCAGTAACCTAAAAACATATTGCCAACAAATAAAATTTCTTTAACATATTTGTAAAAAACTATCTATATTTAAAGCTTTGTATTACTTCCTTTGTTTCTTGCACTTCTTTCGAAGTTTGGGTTACCAGTTTAGATAACCGTTTGATAAGTTGTTCAAGCAAACTAAAAAATATTACAACATAACTTAAAAATTTATCATTACAAAGGTGTAAGTATTGTACTTTAATACTGCACATATACTTTAATATTGTACAATACTTTACTACTGTAGCGTAACTATGTAATCTGTAACTATACCCTCCCCCCACCACCACCTATCGTCAATGAAAATTACAACGTTGTATTTTAAATTTTAATAAATCACTTAAGAATTTATCCAACAGTATTGTTACTTGTGTGGATTTTTTTTATTAAATTTTTTTACAAACATTTATAATAAAATAACAATTTAAACTATTAAATTATTAACAAAATTTTAAATATTAATTTATTAACAAAAACTTGTTTCTCCAAACTTTCTGTCCCACAAAAGTATCAGTAATGACATCAAAGTTTCAAAATCAGGCCATAAAATTTTCCTTTGACAGAATAGCCGAGCTATGAAGGCCTGTCTTGTCCTATTGAGTTTATTAAATAAATTTTTATTAAGTTAACTTCTAGAAATCTGCACAACATACTTGTATGTACTACAACACTCGTGTATGTACTACAATATACTTGTACATGCAAACATTTTTGTATGCTTCATTACAAAAAGATTATTAATAAATCAGTTAGTTATATTTTATTTACTTATGTTATTATTATTTACTTATGTTATTATTATTTACTTATGTTATTATTATTTAGTTATGTTATTATTATTTACTTATGTTATTATACATAGCCTTATACTTATGTTATTTTATCTTATTTTTGAAGAAGCCTTTTTTATCTAATCTCTGAAGAAGAACTTGAAACTTTACAACTAAAGTAACAAAAATTAAGGCAACCGATAAATGTATTCTGTAATTGAACGACATTGTCTCATGAATGGGTCTAATCCTAATAATTCATTAAGCTATATTATATGATATAACAGTCCTAATAATTTAATCCTATTAATTTATATATGTTCTTTAGTTGAATCTAACTTTGCATGATAAAAAAATGCTTTGTTTAAAATGTTAGGTTACTTCTAAGCAAATTACATTGCAGGGACATTTTGCCAGCTGTGCTTTTATACAACATAGTTATAACACATAAATTAAAAAATAATAGTGAAATAAATACTAATAAAGTATTAATATAAAAAAACTTGTTTATAAAAGTTGCTGGATTACACAGAAGATGGGCGCAGATGTGCATGGTTGCCAAAAAAACAACCAGTCTCTTCAGGCCCTCCTCCCCATTTTTAAGCATCTATGCCACTGCAATTGTGTTTAATATAGGGCCACTATATCACTTCTGAAAGGACATAAAAATGTTTAACATGTCCAGCTCTTTAATACATAAAATAATGACTGAGTGAAATAAGAATGTTCGCCTGTTTTTGTAGTTGGATTTAGAGTTTGCAGTTTCAACTTTTTTTAATCTTTTTTTTGTTTACTTAAAAACTTGAAATTATAAGTATAAAACTCTTTAATTCTTTTCATTTGTTAATTATTTATTTTCTTTTTTACTTTTTTTCTTTTGTAGTTTAAAAAAATATTTTTATTTAATAAAAAATCTGATAGATGCAAGCGACATGAGAAAAAATGCCAAAATTGACTAATTTTTTCTGATCTCCTGATAAAGCATGAGATGAATCAATGCGTGAAAAATGACTCTAACTGCAGTAAGTCCACAGTTGCAGAACATAACACATAATTCTTCCATTAGCTATGTATTGGTGATATCCAAATCAAGAACTCATCAGGAAAATATGTGAAATGACAAAAATGAAAAAACTGTTCAGATAATGTAAAAAAACTGTGCAGTTTTGATAAAGAAGAACTTAAATTTATTATTATTATTATCATTATTATTATTATTATTAATACTATTATTAATACTATTATCATTGCTATTATTATTTTAATAATTTTTGTTAAACATGCTATTATCATTTATTGTGGACTTAAATTAAATAAAGTTTGACATAATGACTAACTTAGCTAAAAAAGTTTTTTTTATAGCTAAGTTAGTCATTATGTCAATCCGAGCATTAATTGAATTATGGAAGGATTTGAAAGAAGCGCAAAAAATATTAGATTTCTATGAAGAAAAATTCCTGATCAAAATACTGCAGACAAAAATTTTATTAAAACCAATAAAGTGATATAAACTAATTCAATGTATTATTCTCTGAACTACCTTTCTGTTTAAGTTGAAAAATGGTGAAATCTGAAAGAGTGGCTCATCTATTTACCATCCACTGGAAAAACATGAAAAGTTTTTAGTTTTTAAAAGTGTTTCAAGATTTTTTAGGATTCAAATGACAACTTAAGAACTGTATTTGATAGAACGCTGTATAGAACGCTGTCACACTGGTCACACCCATAGCGTGATCATTGTCACTTCTATAAAGAAGTATAGAAGTGACAATGTACAATATGACTTTATAGAAGGTTCTATACAGAGGCATGAGCAGAGCAAACAGCACACTGATGTAATCCAACAGTAAACTGATCCAACAGTAAACTGATGCAGTTTATCTTAAAAGTGCTATCTTCGAAAAGTCACAATAAAAGAAAAAGTTGATGCTCATTTGAAACAGCAGTTGGAAGATGAAAAGTGTTCTGGAGGGATATTCTGAAAAGAATTGTTGAATGCTTTGTTTAGTCAAGGTTAAGCTCTTAGAGGTGAATCATTTCAACCCAAAAGTCTCTAGAACCTATTATCTGAGATAAGATTTAGTAAATTTAGTAAACTGAGAATAACACAACCTAACATCTAACAGGATTTTTTTTCATTGAATTCTTGCAATAATAAAAGAACATTTGTTCTTAAGAGAGATGTTCTTGTATTAAAGATGAAAAAAATTATTAATGTTTAATATAGCAACTGATCAAGATAATGAAAAATGTGGAGGCTTGACTTAAAATTAATAAGAAGAGAATTAATAAAAGCTTCAAAACTTTTATTCCAGAAGGAATAAAAGCTTCCAAGATGCACTTTATGCATACTTATTATTAAATATAAACATATATGTTTGCTATTCATTTATACGCTGACATACAATATCTTTCTATTGTTTTACAAACTTTAGTATTTGAAGAAAGAGAAGATGATCGGATTGATGTGTGGTGTGACTTTAGCTAGACAAGAAAAGATGATGATGATGATCATCATCATCATTATCATGATAATAATGATGAATAAGTTGATCTGTTGATATTTATATATGCATATATATACAAAATATAACATAAATTTAAATAAAAATAACAATGTTATATTTTAATTATTAAATTTTTTGTCAAAAGTTTGGGTTGGATAAAGAATCCAACCCACCAAATGCTCCTCAAGCACAACTAATTACGAACTTTTGGGAGCATTTGACCCAAAAAGTTTACAAGAAGGTTAGCTTCAACATAAAAAGTTTTAAAACTAAAAGAAATTGATTTGGATTTTTTACAGTTGGACATAAAAGGTTTGAAAGCAAACTTGAGATCTTTTTTCAGTTGATAAAGTTTTAGTATATTTAGTATTTAGTATATCATAAAATAAATTAAATATATATTAATAAAATAAATTTTACTTAAAAATAAATTTTTTTATTTAATTTCTTTTTTTAGTATTTAATTATTTTAACTTTAATAATTGTAATAAATAGCTAATGATAAGTTTAAGAAACCAATCAGTTAAATTTTATTTTTTAAAATGTGACATTCATCTCTACTATTCGCTTCTTTTTAAAAATACTTTGTCAATCATCCAAAGAACATATTTACATTTTTTAAATATTAAAAAGTGTCATTAAGAGAATTAAGAGACATTTAATCTTTCATGATAAGAACGATTATCTTTCGTACATAAGATTTTTTTTCATACATAAAATAATAACCATTAACAGAGACAAGTCTTGATTAACAGAGACATGCCTAACATTCAATCTTTCATACTTAAGTCTGATTTCAATACCTGTGTTAAAAATAAAGAAAAAAAATTGCAAAAAACATTTTTAATAAATCCCCTGTTAAAAAATAATATTTTTTTTTAATATTCCCTCCTGCTTGAAACCACCCGAAGCCAATAACAATTGAATTGAATATGATTAAAATCAAGTGACTATGTTCAGTTTAAAGATTAACAAAAGTCTAAAATATTTTAAAAACAATACAAACATAAATTTAATGCTTATTGCATAATTATACTTTAATATTGCATAATTATACATAAATTATACTGAAATATGACTTAGGGTAGATGAGTAAGGGGAGGGAGGGGGAATGGGTTGGGGAAACATTGCGAAAACTTAACACAACTTACACAGTTAGCTTCTGTGTGACAACAGGATGCAAGTTTGTAAAGTTACTTGCCATATTTGCCAATGATGCTAAACAATTTGTATGTAAATACTTATCCTAAATAGAATATAAAACTAAGAAAACAAATATTTAATAATATATAAGTATATGGTATATATAGTTTTCATTAAACTTTTGACAAAAAATTTAATAATTAAAATATAACATATTATTGTTTAAAAACTCACTGTAAAAGATTTTTTTTTCTCTCGGTAAAAAATATTTTTTTAATGCATACCTGTTAATATCCCCTGCTTTAATTAATATAATACCCCCTGTTTCAAATGTTTTAATACTCCCTGCCTAAAATGTTTTATTAACCCTGCTATTAATATTTTAACACCCAATGCTTGATATAAGTATTTTACTGTTTCAAATGTTTAACTAGTTATAAAATTATAACAAAACAAAAAAACTCTCACTTTGCCATATTAAAATGTATTAAAACCCCCTGTTTCAAACTTTTTAAAATGCTTCAAACGTTTCAAAACCAAAATAATTAAATAAAAAAAAAACTTACTCTCAAAACAAAAAGCCAACTATTATTTTACCATATTAAATTGTATTAAACCCCTTTTTCAAATGTTCAAAATGCTTCAAAACAAAACAAAATTAAGTAACAAAGAACTTACTCTCATTTTTGCCATATTAAACTGGATAGTACGTAGCAAAATAAGAACTATAAAGCTACCAAGACTTATACCAATTAATTTTTTTTCTTTATACCAAGATAAATCCAATCCTGTCTGAAAAAACAAATATAAAAAAAAAAAAAGAAAAAAAAAAAGAAAAAGGAGAAAACAAAATTTTGTAAAGTTTTTTTAAGCTTACTTTATGATGAATAATGTTATTGAAAGTGGAATCTTGAGTAAAAATAAGAATGCATATCAGAACCATGTATATACTGTGTGGGTTGCTTTTTTCAAGATCATATAATACTTTTAACAGTGGTAATAACTAAATAAATAATCTAATACAATATCTTGATAAAACTTAATTTAGCAAATTCAAACCTGAAAAAATATATTCAACACCAAAAAAACTAATTTTAAAATTTTTTAAAAAATAAAAACATACAATATTCTCTATATCTTTTTGACGTAGCAGGTAATTTACAAATGACTTGTTTTTATGCAGCATGGTGTACAGCAGCAAAACAGTTTGTTCCATGTGAAGGTCTCTGAAAAAAAAAATTAAAAAGTTGATTTTTTTGTAAATTTTTTTTTCACATGTATTTTTTAAACGCGTGCTATACTTTTTTTATTACCCACCTACCCAAAACCAACAAGACCAATACAATCAGGTAGTAAAATCAGGTATCTTAACAAGAACAGATTTGAGATTTATGGAAATAAAGAATAGAATCCAGAGTAAGAAAGTGATGAGCACGATAAAGAGTGCAACTTGGACAGATGCTAATTTTGCAATTGATTTTATATATGGTTTCCAAGAAAGATCGGAAGTTAGAGTTAATCCTAGAGGATGAAGGCTAGATGACTCAAAGAGTACAACACCATTCCTAATTATAGGAAGATCTAGATTATTGCAATTAATAAAACAATAACAATTAGCTAAAAAAAATTGAATTTTATCATAGTTAAAGTTCACCAGCCATTCTGTGCAGAAATAATAATAATAATATATTTTCTATTTAAGGTTAACGCCAAGTCAACCCTATGACAGACTCAAATAACAGGTTTTACAAGATTTTACAAAAAAACTTAAATAAAACCAACAATTAGCTTGTAAATCATAGCTTGTCTATTTTCGAATTAAATTGTCTATTTCATTAAAGGACTGCGATTCAACAACTAAACTAGGCAGTTTGTTCCATAATTTTAACACTGGATTTGTAAAGAAATGAGATCTTTTTCAAGCTCAAATGTCTCCTTCAAGCAATCAGAGAATGTTGGTTTCTTATCAAGACAAGAATAAATGGTAGGATCATCAGCGAACAATGTCAGCTTAGGGGTAAGAATATCTGTAAGATTGTTAATGTAAATTAAAAAGAGTATAGAGCTAAGGATAAAACCTTGAGGAACCCCTGAAGTTAAAGAATATGAAAAAAGTGCTGTCTTTCAAGAACAACTTTTATGCTACAATTGATGAGGACAAACTCAATAATCTAATTTTGATTGTTTGTTTTTTTTTGCAAAAAAAATCAAAAAACTTTCCTCAATTTTTTATAAAAATTTATTCTTATATTATATAATATATATTACAGCATTTTACATTATGCTAAAATAACTCTTTTTTAAAAAACTAAAAGTCTTATCTTCAAAATAACACAAAAAATATATGAGCCAATAATAATTATAAAAATAAAGCAAAAACCATAAAATAATACCGTGCTAAAGCTGAAAACAGCCTGTTAAAATTAAGGGTAAACGAACAGTCATTGTTTGTGGTTGCATCATCTAAAATAAAACCATTGTTTAAAATCTGAAAAAAAAATCATTGCTTAATATTTTTTTTAAAAACAAAAAACATAATTTTTTTTCTATTTTTATTTCAAAAGCTTTAATTACAAATAGTAATTTTTTAATTTTTTATTCAGCCTATTTAAATTTAGTTTCACACACTATAGGATCTGAAATCAAAGAGTCTAGTTGGCTAGTTTGTTATTTCTAAAGAATTGGACGCTTCAAATTTAAATTTGGTGGTAATTTTGAAATTTAAATTTGGTTCAAATTTAAGATTAATAGTATTGATAGTAATTTAGAAAAAATATTGATCAAAAATTAAAAAAAAACCTTAGTGATATATATTAAACAAACTTAGAAAACATTTTAAAGATTTTATTTAACAATAAACTAAGATATTTTTTACAATAAATACTTTTTTATGCTGCTTCTCTTATACAATCTTTTTTTTTTACTTAACTTAACCTCATTCATGCAATGTATGAATGTAAGGCACTCTCTTCAAGTTTTCTTACTTCTACCACTACAATTTTCTACCTCTCTGCTACCTCTCTACATGCTGATACTTAAATTACTTTAATCAAACAATTTGTAACAATAACAATTGTTGTTCAATACAAGGTTTTTTCTAATCTGTCTAAGATTATCCTTTTCTTGTCTTGCTAGAGTCACATCACACACCCATCTGATCATTTTCTCTTTCAGAAAATAATATACCATATAAATACTAAAGTTTATATAACAAAGAAAGGATATTGTATGCCAGCATCTAAATAAATAGCAAACATACGTGTTTATATACATAATATGTATGCAAGTATGCATAGTGCATCTTGGAAGCTTTTATTGCTTGCTTTATATGCATAGTGCATCTTTTAAGCTTTTATTGCTTACACCCATCTGATCATTTTCTCTTTAATTCAAGTTTTTTATTATTTCTCTTTAATTTTAAGCCAAGCATTATACTCCACATTTTTCACCATCTTGAGCAGAGACTTTTGGTTAGTCTTCAACAATGTCATTAACTAAAGTAAGTCTAACATTTAATCTCTAATTTATGGATCTGATCTTTTTACTTCTCCCCAAAGTAAAGCAAAGTTATTTGCAAAGAAATCTTACTCTAATTTGATTCTTGAATATAATGGACATACTCTTCCTGACAGTTAAACAGATTAACCCATTGTTAAACATCAAAATCACTCTGGCTTCCAATGCTAAAGTAAATTCTTAATTAAACACTTCTAGTTTGTGCTCCAGACAAGATCTCCATCATAGCCTTAAAAAAGTGTCCACCAGAACTGTCTTCAATTTTGCTAAACTTTTAAAAAGTGCTAAATAAGTGGTTCTAATTTTTCAAACTCTAGAAAACAACTTGACCTCTCTCCTATGATTAGTCTTCACTTAGTTTCTTTATATAAAGGTTTTGAGGTTATTAAATTATTTATTTCTAACTGCAGTTGCAAAGTTATTCTTAAAAGCCTGTCCTCTTTTTTATTTCAAGTAACTTTAAAGGTACCACAAGGTTCTATCTTTGCTCCTATATTGTTTCTTACCCACAATCTTCTAGTTTCAAAAATCTAGAGATTAAAAATATATAAATGTATTTATTAATAAATTTTTAATAAATAGTTAGTATTATAATTAGACTCAGTATTAATAAATTTTTAATAAATAGTAAGCATAAAATTATATTTTATAAATGTAAGCATAAAATTATAATATATTAAGCATTTTAAATTTTTTTTCTAGCTTGGCTATCAAATCTTATAATTTTGCTAGGGCTGAGTTTGCAAAATTTCTCATTTTGCTGGGACATCGGTAACCTTGGTAACTTACAAGTCCAAGCATTCTCTAATAACTTTTATTTGTTACTTCCAGTTTAGTTTTTTATAGTTTTTTTTACAACACTTCCTGACTTCGATAAACCTACAACTTTTCAACGCTTATGTCAACCGCTTTTGCCCTATAACTCTTTTTTTTTCTCTCAAATCCCAACTTAATAGACATTGCTTGCAGTCTTGTTGAGAGGGAATCAGAATAAAAAAACAAAAACAAAAAAAAACTAATAAAATTTAATAAAACTAACTAACTAATATGACGATAACAAAAAAAAAAAAACATGAGATAAATTTTTAAATAAAACTTTTACTTAATTTTTATTTAAACAAGTCATTATAAAATCCTTTTTTCCCCCTCTTACCATTCAAAATAAAATCCTTTTATAAATCTCAAAGGTTTAATAGGTCATTCATTCATTGTCATACTAGCAAAATTATAGGTCTTATAAGTCTCAAAGGTCCTATAGGTCATTCATTCATGGTCACACTAGCAGAATCTTTTCTTCAACATCATGAAAAAAATAAACATTTTAAATTATAATGGCATTAAATCTTTTTAATATTTATATTTTTATAATTCTTGACCAATCTATATTAATCTATTTTAAGATATGTTAATGATAAACAACAGTAAATTTTAGAATGCTCAAGAAGCAGAACAATTCCTAATTTTTTGAACAAATAGAAAGCAGAACAATCTTTTTAACACCCTACAATACAATATACAATTGAAATTAAATGTGAAACTCTGAACCTCCTAAATGTAACCATAGTAACACAAAAGGTGTTACTATGGTTACATTTAGGAGTAAGCTTTAAAATAAAAGTTTAAAGCTTACAGAAAGGAAGCCATTACAAATATTCAAACTAAACACTACTCAAATCATTTAATCAAATCAATAAAATTTTAAATGCAATATTCAAAGGTTACATTCACAGAGCATATTCTATAAACAGTGATTTACATTTGTAAAATGATATAAAATTCCTTAATTAAGTATTTAATAAAAATGGGTATGACATATGCCAACTTGAAGGTATTGCTAACCTAAATTGAAAAAAATGGTCCATAAAAAACAACAAAACTCAATCAGTCTCTGTTAATCTCCCTGCATTTATCTGCATTATCATGGAAACTATCACTGCATTATCATGGAAACTATCACTATCCCCAAAATTAGGGATAATACTTTAGAAAGTTAGCTATAAAGTATTCAAATCAAATTCTAATTTAAGAACATTGCTAACATCTAAAAACAAAACTAAATTGCCAAATATTAGTAAATAGACACCCATAGTAAGTTTTGCTCAGAAGAAATAAAATGGGAGAATGTTAAAGCATTTAAAATAGAAACAAAAAATTTGATCAAAAAGTGTGTGAAGAGGTACCAATGGGTACCAATTTAAATGGCAGAATTATTCAAGATAATAGGCAGCTTGTTAAAACTAAATTTTGGACCCAGTCTTTTTTTTATTTTTTTGAGTAAAAAGAAAGAAGCCATTTAACTGTTGATGTCAGTTATTTTTAAACTGTTTTTTAACATTCAAAAGAATTTTGTATAAAGTTTAAAAAAAGTTTTTAGTACAGCCAATCAGGTTACTGAAGTTATTGGAAGCCAAATAAACCATCATCGTCAACAACAACAGCAACAAAAAAAAAGATCAAATTAATATAAATATACAAGGCAAAAAATTAATTTATGTAAATATTTAAGTAGTATAATTTAGTATATCTGTTGCATAATTTTTAATACTAGTTTTTGTTAACTTCATGTCACTAACTCCTTTACCCTAACCCTTGCCAAACCAAATCAATAAAGTTACCAAACTAGTTCTAAACAGAGTTTTTTTATCTGAGAAAAAAAGTTATATTTGAAATAAACAAAAAAAGCAACTTGCAAATTACTAAACAAAACATAAAAATAAAAATTAAAATAAAAAAATTAATAATAAAACCTTCTCCACTGCCAGAACTTTTTCCTGGCTTACAATTAAGAACTGCTTTTCTATATAAATTATGCTCTTTAGAAGAACTGAATACAAATAAATTAAGAAGAAAGAAACTATGGTTTGCTAGCGGATAAAGAATCAAATTGCTTGGTGAATCTGTAGATTGATTATCATTTACAAACATTGACCAAATACCAGCTAAAAGTAAAAAATTACAAAAACTACAAAAATTACAAAACCAATTAAGCATGAAGACCATAATTAGCAAAATTAATACTCAAAATCAAATAACGCATATGAAATTAAAACAAATGGCATGTGTGCGTGAATATAAATGTACATACACACAAATATATATATATATATATATATATATATATATATATATATATATATATATATATATATATATATATATATATATATATATATTCAGAACAAATATTGTAACAAATACAAACACATACACAAACATTTTAAACAAGATTTAATTTTGTACACATATAAATGAGAGCTATATTTACTAATGAAGAAAAAAAATTAAAAAAAAAGAGTTAAAAAAATGGATGAGTCATGTGAGAACAAAAAATCGAAAACAATCATCACAGACAGATTTTTCTTCAGACAATTCCTTAATTTATTTTCAATTAAAAAAGGATTAAATTTTTGAATAAAAAAGTAAAACGACAGACATTTTTATGAATTAAAATACTTTTTAATAAACACAAGCTTGTAAAAAAAACTTTTATAAGTATTCTATAATTACTAAAACTTGTTTTTGATTTATCTTTAATTTATTGGTAACTTTTGACTTGCATTTTTAAGTTTTACTCCACACTTCGGCATCAGCTTTGCCATTTTTACAAATGGTGGACTATTGTTATAAGCAAAAAAAGCTTCACTTTTTGTCCAATAAAATACCGCAAGTTAGACATCTAGTTATACAATATATCATTGGTTGACTTTTTTATGTTTTTTTTTTAATGTTTTTTTTTAAATGTGAAGTATAAGTATATCTGATAGGGTGCATCAGGGAAGATTAAGGTGGTTAGGGTGCATCAGGAAAGATTAAGGTGGTTAGGGTGCATCAGGGAAGATTGAGGTGGTTAGGGCATCCAGAAGGTACTAGCATGTATAAAGAAATTTTAGGAGAAAAAGTAAAGATAAAAGAAGAAACAGGGAGGACAAAACAGACAGGATAAAAAAGGTTTAGTTGAAAAAATAAGATACATAAGATTAGGTATATTGGAGACACAGCATGAGAACTATGTGTTGTGAACCATGTCTAGTTAGTGCAAGTGCAGAAACAACGCAGAAAAAGATAATGAAAGCAATAATGCTGATAATCACATTACATAGAAAACATTTAATATAAAAAAAACAAGAACACACATTATATATTAGGAAAAAATGTTGACTTAAAAGAAATTAAAGATCGAATTTTTACCAATAATAAACTAAAAATAGTTAGACTTACAAGCAGCCCAAGAGACCACACTCTTGGAATCTGATGGAGGAGGATCATTTTTTATATAATTATGTAAACAGCTCTGAATAACAGTTATTGCATTTCCAGAACTAAACAAAACTTAAAGCATAAAATTATCATATAAAACATAAATAAACCTGAATATTTAAGCATAAAATTATCATAAATGATTAAACATGAATATTTAAGCAAAAAATTATAACACATTTTTTTTAGAGAAAAAAAACAAAAAAACACGATTAAAAATAATAAAATAAAAAACTGTAAAACTATAAAATATTATATTTAATTTTATAATATAAAAAATATTTAATTTCTTATATTATATTTTTTTTATAATAGAAGATTTTTTTTTTTTATTCAAATAATTTGATAATTATAAATAATAACCTCAAACTATTTTCTATAGTCCCTTGAAAGCAATAACAATTACTTTACTTTGTACAAGTTGAACATTCGTTTAGTTGAACCCTTTTCCTTATTCTCTCGGAAGTTTGAGTTAACAGGAATTTACTGGAGGTAATATATAACATCTTGCCTTTTGGTTGCCATTTAAAAATCAGGAATTAAAATAATTCCTCCCAGACTTTTGAAATGTAGTGCAGTGGTAGAGCGCTTGCTTTTAAAGCAAAAAGTTCTGAGTTTAATCCCCACTATGTCCCTGGTAGTACTGTACTCAACTTGTGAAGTGAACTAACATTTTAAATCTTTTATTTTTTACCTCGCTTATCTTTTATATTTTTGCCTAACTTTATTTTTACTTAACTATATTTCTTATTTAATGATTGCCTTCACTTATTATTAACTCTGAACTCTGGACAGTTGCTGTTTTAGGCACAACATTCACATCATAATGCTCATACCAATCCATAACAAACTTAACTTGAAATTAACTTGAAACCAAATCAGGCCAAAACATCCATCATCATGTAATTTAATAAGATAAAAAAACATTTTTGAAAACACACTATAAATATATTTGACCCAAAGTGTGGAAGCAGTAATGTAAAATGCTAGTTTTTGATAAGATAAAAAAACATTTTTGAAAACACACTATAAATATATTTGACCCAAAGTGTGGAAGCAGTAATGTAAAATGCTAGTTTTTGTCACAACTGCAATTAACCTGTTAAAACCATTAAGTCTTATAAATAAAAATCTATTGAGCCTATAAACGAATAAAGTCTATTATTAAAATAAATTATTAAACTTATTATGCATTGTGATTTTAAATTTCTCAACTATATTTTCTCTATGTTTAGAAATATTTACAACATTATGACAATACCAGCTTATGACCTTGATTTATATCATTGCCTTCAAAAACTCCAAAATGTCATACAACTTTTTTTTAGTTTCAAGCCTTGACATTTATTGGTTTATAAACAAAAGAGAAATTTCAATTTTGTAATAAATTAGTTTTGCATTACTTATTTTCAACAACCATAATGGTTTCTGGAGGTTGTGATTTAAAATTATGCTTTCCAACATTTTACAAGAATATATGTTAACAATACTGACCTGTAGTTACAGATAAATACTTTGTCATCACTATTGTGCACTTTTGTTACCTTAGCTTATCTCCATTATAATAGCTTACCTCCACTATAATACCAATCAACTATTATAAACAGCTTCAAAAATTAAAGTTATTTGTAATACTAATTCAACAGTTTAAAATCAACAAAATTTAAATAAAAAATTTACCAAGACTTTATCATTTATATTTATATTTAGAGTTTATCATTTAATTTTTTAAGTACAATGATTTAAGAATCAACACTTAAAACTCAACAAGATAAATTAGAAAATCATTAAAGTTAAATATATTATTAAAAAAAGGAGCTAAAAATAAGTAATATATATAAAAATACGAATAAGTAAAATAAAATAAACTAAAACCTATAATAAATAATTACATCTAATGAATGTATTGAAATAGGTGGATGTGGAAATATATTGGCTAAATAAAAATCCTTATAATTTAATTGGATTATAAAGGTTAACCTATAAAATTTATGATGTAATAAAATTCAATAATTATTATTATGATAACTTTTTTTTTTTTTTTTTTAATTTTACTTTAATTCACTACAGACGAGGAGGCTACTTATTTGTGGCTATAACCCTCTCTCAACTCTATAACTCCGAAACACGAACCTTGACGAACAAGGCCGCTGCGCAGAGAAACGAGTTGAGCGCGGTACTACCAGGGACGTGGTGGGGATCGAACTCGGAACCACTCGTTTATGAAGCGAGCGCTCTACCACTACACCACTACCGCATACCACTACACCATATACCGCATACCATACCGCATACAACTATGAAAAGCTTTCACTTACCATTTACTATGAAGTATAGACAAAAATATCTTGCTTGATTCTTTTGGTTTAGGTTGAAACAGTTGCGTGGAAAGTAAAACAATGTATGAAGTAATTGACTCAAAATGCACATAGTATGTAGACGAACTATAAAACATTACATAATCTTATACATATGCTGTATAATATATATACACATTGTATACATAATGTACTGAATTACATATAAAACTAACTAAATACATAGTATATATATATATATATATATATATATATATATATATATATATATATATATATATATATATATATATATATATATATATATATATATATATATATGAAACATAATCTATTCCTCCTATCTATGGTCACTGCAAGTGCTTTTGTCTCAAAATTATTAGTAAGTGCCTGGCTCAATATAGATTTTTTTAACAAATGAGTTGCAAATAAATGCAAATATCTGCCAGATGAGGTTGCTAATGCTAGTTTCAAAATAAAGTAATCAACAAATTCAAAAATAAAATATATGTATAGTTTGTGCAGTTGACCATTTTTCATTTTTCATTTTTCGCTGTATTCTGCTGCTATACGAGTTTACCTGCTAGCTAATGATGAGCTCACTGTTCAATTCTGTTTCATATAACTTTAACTTTATAATAATAACCCTGCTATTGTATTGAAAACAGTATTTTTTTATTTCAATGTGATCACTATCTCATCTAGATGTAGCAATAAAAATTTATTTAAAAAAATAATAATAATAAAAAAAAAAGATAAAAAAGATTTTAAAAATAAAAAGGATTTATCAAAAAAAAATTTAAAAAACATAAAAAAGATTTTATTGGATATAGGTAATTTATGGATCAGTGTATCAAGCTTTTTTTCCGTATTGATATATTTCTACAAATATATCAAAAAAGGATAACAACTCAAATGTTGTTTAAAGAGCATAACTGTAGCGCTTTTTAGATAAATCTTTTAAAAAATGTTATAAACATTTCTTATTCATGATTTCAATGTGAATTAATCAATTAATATACTTAAAAAGTTACAAATTATTAGTAAAACAAAAAAACAAAAAAACAAAAACTATAATAAATAACAAAACAAAATTTTAATATATAAAATTTTTAAATTTTATATATTAAAATAACAAACTAGTTTTATAACAAATTATTAAATAATTATAGTTAAAAAAAATAACTTAAATAAATTTTTAAAACTTACTTGACTGGTACAAAAGAAATGACTTCCGATAACACTAAAATATACTCTTCAAACATGCTAACTTGATCTATATATATATATATATATATATATATATATATATATATATATATATATATATATATATATATATATATATATATATATATATATATATATATATATATATATATATATATATATATATATATATATATATATATATATAAACTTTTTACAATACAAAAACAGTAGGGAATAAAAACAAAAAAAAATAATGGAAAGAAAACAATCAAAATTAATTAAAATCTGAAAAAAAGTGTCTAATAAAAAAAAATAGTTTTTTAGAAAAATAGTTTAAGCGTTCTTTTTTGCAGTTAAAGAAGTTTTTACTACTCAAAAAGTATTTTATCAATTTGTTTCAGTATTCAAAGTCTTCAAGATGTTTGTATTTAAGGTATTCAAATATGAATAAGATATTCAAAGAATTCTGTTTATTTACAACAAGGAAACATTAAGTATGTTGGATTACAAAAAGCAAAAAAGAGTGCTAAAGCAACAAAATGAAACTGACCTTAAAAATAAAAGACTATTTTTTTTTTAATTATCTTCGCTTCCAACAAGGCTGCAAGCGACCACTAATTAGTGTTGGAAGTTACTGGAAGAGAAAAGATGAAGATTGTAGAGCAAGATAACGATTGACAGACGACTTAAAAGATTGCAAATTATATAAATCAGGAAAGCAAGATGAAGAAAGCGAATTCCAAAGAACTGATGTTCGAGGAAAAAAACTAGACGAATAAGAGTTTTTGGAGCACTTTGGAACAGTAACAGAAAAAGGATGAGACTTAATTGAATGACGAGTAACACGAGAATGAATTTTAGTAGATGGCACAAGAGACAATGGAGAAACAAGGAAGTTTTAAAAGCATAAAATTAAAAAATGCAATACTTTTCATAACCTAATATTATTTATACAAAAAAATACAAAATATGAATAAAAAAACAAATCAGCAAACAAAGGTACTGTGTCAAAAAAGAATAATATAAATAATGTAAAAATAAATAAAAAAACAAACCATCAAACAAAGGTACTGTGTTAAATAAGTCAATAAAATCATCTTCAAAGAGATGTTCAGCAAAATATTCACAGCAACAACGAATAATGAATAATGCATTTCTAAATTTGTTTACAATTTCAGAACTAAAAAATAAAAAATTCTATATTTTTAATTACATTAAAATACCAAAAATAAAAATTTAAAATCCAATTAAATAAAAAACAAAAATTAATCTTACTTATTGATATTGGAGCTATGAGATATTAGTTCACGAGCGCAGTAATTACTAATACATACAAGTGTCATAAAGTTTCCACTTGCTTTAGTGTTTGTTGCTTAAAAATAAGATATAAATTATTTTAAAATATAGATTAAAAATGAAATGATTCAATTCTAAAAAATCATTTTCTAAAAATTAAAAGTTGTTAACTTAAATTTAAATGAATTAAAACAAGGTACAGTAGAATCCCTTTAACTCGAACTCCGAAGGGGTATATATTTATTGTCCGACTTAGTGAATGTCCGAATTAAGCAAAGCTTTCGTCAGACTTTTTGAAAACGTTCGACTTATTGAGATTTCCAGACTTATCGAATGTTCTTCAATATATAAATATTATGTATATATATATAGAACAATATAATCTTATGTGAAATATATATTTTTGTATATATAATATATACTATAAACAAAAAAAGTTCGAAATTGATGTTTGTTTCAGTGATTCGCACCATTCTCTTTTAAACAGCTTTATCCAAATTTATGTTACATGCTTCAGGCCTTGTTACGAGATTTCGCTGCGTAACGGAAAAGCGAAACGTGAATAAATGTAACTTTAATCAATAAAGATACTTACATTGTTAAAAGTTAATTTACGTCAGTTGCGTTTTTACTTCATTGTAATTAAATTTAAAATGACATTAAAAACTATTGTTAGTCTTTGAAACAAAGTAGCTTTAAATTGACAATGTTGTTATAAAAAAAAAAAATTTCAATGTTGATTAAAAAAAAGTCTTCTTGTGTTAAAATCTTATACTTATTTAAACTTAATTTTTTTGCTTTTAAACATTCGTTTTATGGTTGTTTTTTTTTTTATTTTTTATTTTTTTAAATTTAAATTTAACACTTGTTTATGGTTGATTTTCTTAAAGGGATTTAAATGTAAACGCATAGATTGGGTTTTCCCCTTTTAAAAAAAATGTTTGTACTAACTGGTTTTGATAAAATAAATGTTGTAAAGAAACGAAATTTACTGCTTTTTCGGCATTTTTTTTTTTTATTTCCATTAAACTATTTTATTTTTATGTACAGAGAAACCTAATTTTTTTTTCTCAATCCAAAAAAAAAATAGTGTTTTCGGTTTTCAGATGTTATAAGCAGAATTTGTTTTTAACAAATATCATTATAATTTTGAAATTTATGTATCTTATATTTATAGCTCAAGTACTAGTTTTGTTTTTAAAATAAAATAAAGATAAGTTGGGCTTTTAAAGAGTTTATTTACTGATTGCATTATTTTTAATAGGTTTGAATTTTGTTTTATAAAAAAAATTCTTCAGCAAACGGCAAAGGGAAAACCCAAACATAACATAACTCGAGTTTAAAAGTATTGACGTCATTTATTAACTTGTAGTTATAAAATGAATAATGCGCTTCTGTAAATAATAAATGAAACTGTAAAATAATGGAAAAATAAAAACTGGAAAATAATGCGCTTTTGTTAAGCGCATCTTTCAGACCAGTATTTGGAACTTACCTGAAACTTAACTAAAATTAAAATAAAGTTATATGTAATACGAACATTTTAAAGCAACTTGAATTAAATTTATTAAATCTTTTTTTACTTTGGTAATTTTATCATTAAAAAAACGGAGCATTTTAAAATTAAAAAATTTTAAAATGCTCTGTTTTAAAATTAAATGAAAGAATTTTAATTAAATTTAATAAATTTATTTACTAAAAACTATAATTATTAAAAAAATATTTAAATTTAATAAAATAAATTGAAAATATTTCTTTTTTTAAATTTGATTGTTTATAAACTTATGAAATCTAATATTTAAAATTAAATATGATGAAAAGTTTAAACTTAAAACACTTTATTTTCTTTAAGTAATTTTTAAAAACAAAAAAAAAATTATTAAAAAAAATTGTTTCTTTAACAAAAAATCTATTAGTTTACAATTGCGATTAAATGCTTTTACTTACGACTTTAATACTGCTGAATGAACGTCACATAGACGATATAAAAAGATAATTTAAATATTCTAAAAGAATAAAGTTTTTGCGTAACGCATAACTGCTGAACGCGTAGGCAAATCGCCTTTTTGCAGACAAAATGCGAGCTGCGTGACGCTTCTTAACAAGGCCTGATGCTTTATCCAAATCCTTCATTAGGGAGACACATATCCTCACTCTTTTCGCAGAAGTTTTTTTATTTTTTCAACTTCTGAATATATTGTGTTTTTTTCTTTTAATTATTCAGACAATTTTTGCTTTAGAATGCCATATTTGTTTGATATAGTTACAGATGATTTTCCTTTGTCGAGTTCCTTTAGTATTTTACTTGGAAGCTTTGTACTTTAGTAAATTTTAATAAACGCCATTTTTAGTAAATAAAACTTGATCAAAGTATAACTGAATCGAAGATATCAGTGAAAATGTTTAGTTTGTTAAATTATGTTTGACGCAAAGGTAATTAATTTTTGAATGTTTTAAGTTTTGAATTTTAATTGATATTTTTGAGTTTTTAATGTAATAGTTACTAACAAATAGAACTTAACTAAAGCTTAACTGAATCAAAAAATCTCAGTGAAAACGTTTAGCTATGTTTAACTATAATTTACGCATAAGTATTTTATTTTCGATTGTTTAAAGTTTGGAGTTTTTATTGAAGTATTGGAAGTTTTGGTTATTGTATGCACTTTATGCAATTCAAAATAAAAGTCCTATTTAAGCAAAGTTTTTTGCCAAAAGGAACTCGAAAAACAGTATGAGTTAGCGAATGATCCGACTTAACCAGGGTACGACTTAAGCAAATGATTTTACAGTAAGTTGATAGAGAATGTTCAAGGGGAATTGAATTTTTGTCTGACTTAGTAAAAGTCCGACTTATCCAAGGTCCGAGTTAACGGAATTCAACTGTATTAAAGAATTTATGTTTAAAAAAATGGGTTTTTTTTGTTTTTTTTTCAAACATCTTTACTTCCAATAAGTCTGCAAGCAACCACTAATTAGAGTTGGAAGTTACTGGAAGAGAAAAGTTGAAGATTGTAGAGCAAGATAATGTTTGACAGATTTTGAGATCATTTTACATTTAACTTTCAAACTTTTAAATATATTTTAACATTAAATTGTTGTAGGGACTTAAACGTTATTAAGATTTTATTATTCTTAATAAATCCTTCGTTACGTTTTTTTTCAAAGTTTTAAGAATAACTTTAAAAAAATCAAGAACACTAAACAGATCTTTCTCACCCATTTTCAAGCATTAAAAAAAAAATATTTTTGTCAACCAACTTTGTCTTTGTCAATTACAAATACCAGAAATGGTAAGATGTATGTTTTTCATTAGAAACATAGTTTTCAATCCATTTATAAGTATATCCAAATTCTGCAAGTATTAAGCTTCTACTAGCTAGCAATACCTGAACCTTTTTTAAAAGCATAACCAATATACTTTTTATGTGTGATAATGAGTTTTTAAACATGACTAACAATTCTTTATTACACACTTAAAATTGACACTTGATAACTATCAGAAACTTGATATTTATTCAAGAATTATTTTTTTATCTGCTACTGCAGTTTTGAATTTTTGTGTTGACATCAAACCTAACAAAATAAAAAACAGCTATACATAAAGTTTTAGGTGATGGCCAAACTTTTCATTAATTATTTGTTAGAGTTGATACATTAATCATTGATGAACATTGACAAAAATAAAGAATAAATATAATAATATGTCTAAACTGACACGTAAAAATGATCTTGAAGTTTACTACCTGTTGCATCTTGGAAAAACTCTTAAATTATTAACAATATTAAAGATAATTATTATTAATATCAAAAAATAAAAAACAAAAATTGATATGTAAAAAATATAAAAAAAAACATTAAAAAAATCTTATATTATATGAAATGTACAAAAATAGAAAAATAAACAGTTAAAACATTTAAATTTTTTTCCTTTTTTTTCTCAACATTCAAAATTTTTGAAATAATGCTAATGTAAAATTTTAAAAATATACTATTAAAATGATTGTCAAATAAAGAATAATAAAATAAGTAAATAAATATATTAAAATTATAATCTACTAGTAATTGTTAAAAACTATTACATACATTTGACATGGTCCGAACAGCAGATAGAATCTTGCTGTTGGTAAAGAATGATTATTTTGCTATGAAAAGGTTTTAACCGCATTTTGAGGTATTTATTTTTATACAAAGTCATTATTACTACTAATAGCCATTGTGGAAAACCGTAGAGAAAAAATATAAATAATGTATATTTAAAAAAGTTATAGTAAGAATACAACATCATAATCAAAACCAAACATAGATTAGTTAAAACTGTGTCAAACCGATGCAATAATATACTTATTTTAACACAATGCAACTTCTTTAAACAAAAAAAAAAACAAATAACATTGTAAAACTTACATAATTTTTTGCATAATGCTTCAATATCTTTTTTAAATAACTTTATGGCGTCCCTAAATATTTGTACTGTTCACATATATATATATATATATATATATATATATATATATATATATATATATATATATATATATATATATATATATATATATATATATATATATATATATATATACAATGTTATATGAATGTATATATATATATATATATATATATATATATATATATATATATATATATATATATATATATATATATATATATATATATATATTTATATATATGTTTAAACAATTTTAAAATTGTATTCTTCAAAATAGAGTGCTCAATGTTCTTAAGAGAATAGAGCAATTATAAATTAGTAGAAAATAACTTAATTTTTTTTTTTCATTTTACACTGTGTTTTATCAATAAAGACTCATCAGATTTCTGATTTTCTGATTATTGATAAAACACAGTGTAAAATGAAAAGAATTTTTGTTAAGTGATTTTCTACTAATTTATATATATATATATATATATATATATATATATATATATATATATATATATATATATATATATATATATATATATATATATATATATATATATATATATATATATATTGTTATATGTATATTTATATATACTGTTATATATATATATATATATATATATATATATATATATATATATATATATTGTTATATGTATATTTATATATACTGTTATATATATATATATATATATATATATATATATATATATATATTATATATATATATATATATATATATATATATATATATATATATATTGTTATATGTATATTTATATATACTGTTATATATATAATATATATATATATATATATATATATATATATATATATATATATATATATATATATTGTTATATGTATATTTATATATACTGTTATATATATATATATATATATATATATATATATATATATATATATATATATATATATATATATATATATTGTTATATGTATATTTATATATACTGTTATATATATATATATATATATATATATATATATATATATATATATATATATATATATATATATATATATATATATATATATATATATATATATATATATATATATATATATATGCCTCGGTGAGAAGCGAGAGCTTTAGCTCTTGCTCTCACCCACACTCCCTTAAAAAAAGTAAAGCAAAAATATTTTTTTTTTCTCTCAAATGTTTAATTTTCATTGTAACTAAAATGAAATACAAAAAGTAAAAAAAAAATGTATCACTGTATTAATGCATGGAATAAGCATAATTTATATTTAGGCCGATAGAAACAAAAATTATATTTGGGTGGGTGGGGGTGAGGGGGGAGCACTGCTAGATTAAGGGGCCCCGAAAATGGCCAGTGCGATTTCAAGTCTTTATATGACCACGCAAATAATATTTTGTTTTGATGATTTAACCACAGTTTTTAACAAATATGCTTAAAAAATTGTTTTTTAATTAATCTTATATAAATAACTTTGAGATGTTTATCTTTACTTATATATCTATATTAGCAAAAAAGCTTTTAAATAAAATAGCTAATGATTTTAATTAAAGTTTTTATTAAAAGATGCATTATTGTTTTTTTCATTAAAAGTTGTATAATTTTTTATATATATTATTTAATTATAATATAATAAGATTTTTTTAAGATAATTATAATATAATATTTTTTTATAAGTAAAAATAAAAAAAAGTTATTTTTAAAAAAAAAAATTAAATTTTATAAGCGACGACTTTGAACAGTGAAGGTCTCTTTAATAAACTTTATATAAGAATCATTATTGTTTTTGTTGAAAAGAAAAAAAAGACTAACTTTTTTGAAAGCTGTTTTTATATTATTGAAATGTTTTTATATTATTGAAACGCATTTAAATAATGTAACAAATCACTGCTAATGATTTTTTATAAAAGCATAAATGAATAATATATGTTTTTTATTATAAATGTTTAAATGAAAATAAATTAAAAATAATTATATCAATTTTTGAAATAAATGATTTAATTATTTTTTCTTTAGTGTGAAGAAATGTTAAGAATCTTTTTTTAAACTTTTCAATGTGCAAGCCTTCTCGTAAGAGGCGTGCGATCGGATGCTTTATATGAATACATTGTAAACTTATTTGACAACTCTAATCGACACATATACCTAAATTGCATTAAATTATGTTTTCAAAACAAAAATATAAATAAATAACAAAAAGAGTCATTAATCTTACTTTGAGAGCTTTAATGCCAACATCAATTTGCCACTAATTTTAATTTATATGTTTTATTCTCTAATATAAATAATAAAATAATATAAATAATAAAATAAAATTTATTTTCTTATTGCCTCTCCCATGAAATCCTTAAATGCGGGTACTCGCAAGAATAGTGTTACAATTATAACATTTAATAAACAATACATATAAAAAGGATTTATTACATGGCATGCCATGATAGCATATTTACTGCATAACTAGGTCGTTAGTTTATTCAAAAGTCCATAACTTTTATGTTATTCTTCTCTTACTTTTATAATCAAGTTTTTAGCATGATTGTTATAATGTTATTACATTTTAAAAAACTTGTATTTATTTATTTTATTATTACAAATAATTTTAACGCAATTTTCTTATTTTTTAAAATGAGAAAATTTAAAGCAAATAGAGTTTATTTGCATTGTAAATTATGGTTATGAAAACATAAGCGGAGGAGAAACTAATATAACAGGCATGTATGTATGTATGTATGTATGTATGTATGTATGTATGTATGTATGTATGTATGTATGTATGTATGTATGTATGTATGTATGTATAATTGTATGTATGTATGTATGTATAATTGTATGTAGGTGTGAGTATGTATGAATATAATTTGTATGTATATATTTACACATAGAGAATGAGAAATTTTTTACAAGTACACAATTTTAAAGTACCTTGTAAAAAGTGATAACGAAGAGAATTGCGTAAACTCATTCCAAAACATATCTTCTCGTAAAATTTGCTGAGTTCCAACAAATCGACCAAGATACTTGTTGGAATGTAGGTTTTCTAATGATGATTGATTTATTCCCATTATTAGTCATACTAAATATATTATTTAAAGTTTACATATGAAAGTTTCTATAAGTTCACACACACAAACACACACAGATATGTGTGTATATATATATATATATATATATATATATATATATATATATATATATATATATATATATATATATATATATATATATATATATATATATATATATATATATATTGGTAAGACATTTATTTTAATGGAGAAACAAGCTGTCGAAGAAAATTGGATAAGTGTTCTTACATAGTTTATATATATATATATATATATATATATATATATATATATATATATATATATATATATATATATATATATACATATTTATATATATATATATATATATATATATATATATTATATATATATATATATATATATATATATATATATTATATATATATATATATATATATATATATATATATATATATATATATATATATATATATATATATATATATATATATATATATTCTATAAAAAAAATAAAATTAAACTTCTTTACAAGGATTGATTTTTACGAAATTTCGAAGGGGACATATAATAAAAAAAGATTTAAAACTATTCTTATCAGTGGTTTTTTGAAGCACTATTATAAAAATCTGGATTTATTTAATCCACATTAAATTATTTTATTTTATGGAAAACAGCTGTGGAAATTTACTTAACTTATCAAACTACCATAAGTGATTTTATGACTTTGCGTGGTATGAATAGTATTAAATTCGTGTTTTTCCTTTATTTATTTTAATACAACTTTGTATTCACTTTAAAATTTTCTAAAATTTAAACACGCATTTATAAACATCCAATTATTATGTTTTAGTTTTTTCCGGGTATAGATAAACAGACCGAAAAAGCGAAAACAATGTTTTCCTTATCATTTTTGTTTCATTCCATTAGTGTACATTATATATTAGTCGTCAATTCTTATGCGTCGGTCGATGTTTGTGATAAACCAAGTATTTCTTCTCGAGAAAGAAATTTATTCAAAATGGTATTTTTAAGTTAATGACATACAATTATAAATATTCGTATTTATATTTAATGACAGCATTTATAGATAAATGACATTTATTTATAAATACTATTTATTTATAAAAAACAATAATTTATTTATATAAAAAACCTCTTGTTTTTTTGTTTGAGTCATTGAGAGAACCCAAAATACTGCTCCAAATAAATGAAGAAAGACGGATTGCACTGTTTATTGCAGTAATCGATTTGTTGATTAAAAAACCCTTCATTCAATTGAACCCGCACTTTAAAAAACGGGTTTGTAAAGTTTGTATTTGATCATTTTGTACTTGGTTACGTTAACCAACTTGCATTGGAAAGTTGATTTTTTAGTTAAGTATTGAGTCAAGATCATAAAAAGGTTCAGTAAGAATTTATTTATTTATATTTAAGAATTTATTTATTTATATTTATTTATATTTATATTTGTATCTTTTTTGTAGTGGTTTGTGCGGAAAAAAATGTGTATATCTGGGGTTTGAATAAAAAGTTCGTTTCTATTAAAATAAAAGCGATTCATAAACCACCAAATGCGTCAACAGTTCTCGACTTTAAAATAGAAAAAAATCATAAAAGAATGTCTTTTTACAAAAACAAAATAAAAAATTTATACCAAAAAAGTAAATTTAACCAGGCAAAGCGACTTGGAAAAAGAAAAAATTGGAAGAAGAAAAACTTGGTTTAAGGTAGCAGATCCCCTTAAAAATCAAAAAAAATTCAATTTTTTTTTTTTACTTGATTTTTATTCAAAATTTAACGGAGATTATTAATATGAAAACAGTTTCTTATAATTCAATTTAGTTTTTTAAAAAATTTTTGTTTTAGTGGACCATAGTTTTCAGGCTTCCCTAGTTACCACCATAGCAACGGGTTTGATTGTTGGTTTTTAAACTTTCTAATCAGCTTTTTGGAGGAAACTTCAGTCTTAAAAGAATCTTGTTTGCCTAATGTTTGTACCAGTGCTCAAAACAACTTTAGGATAAACTCCACAGCTTGAACATTACAAATTAGAATCACAGCATTGACTATATTTGAAATCTTCTAAAAGCAACTTTTACTTCAAATTTGTTTGCAACTTTTAAACAAACAAAAAAAATGAATCGCAGTACGATTAGAAAACGTTAATACAAGTTTAAAGGAAATCAGTACACATGCAATTATAAACAAAAAAATAGTTTATCTTCATCGCCAATTGCAAGTTGTACAAGTGCAAAAAAGTTATTTTCGAAAACGAAAACTACTCAAAATATTGAGTGTAACAATGAAGATTACAAGAACAATTATAACTTTATTATAAACTTTTCTATATTAAAAAAAATATTTAGTAAGTATGTTTTTTGTCCTGAATGTGGAAATAAAATTACTTTGCATGATAACATTGGGAAAAAAATGGGATTTTGTTTACAACTTGAAATTTTTTGTGAAAGCTGTGATAAAATTATAGACACATTTAAAACTTCAGCAATAATTAAAAGAAGTGCAGAAGTTAATACACAAGTTGTTGTTGCTTTTAGAGAAATAGGAAAAGGATATACTTCCATAGAATCATTTAATCGTTGCATGAATATGCCAAGACCGATGACAAAAAAAAACTATGGTAAAATAACAAAATTACTTCACAGCGCTTATGTCGAAGCAGCTAGTACCTCCATGTCAAAGGCTGCAAAAGAGACACACGATATTGTTTCAATGGATGTCATCAGTGATAATGCAAGTATTGTTGATTGCCATGTTTCTGTTGATGGAACATGGCAAAAAAGAGGTCACACATCCATAAATGGTGTTGTTACTTTGATATCAACAAATAATCAAAAATGTGTTGACCATTTTGTTTTATCAAAACAATGTAAAGGTTGTGAATATTGGAACAAAAGAAAAAATGAACCTGGTTATAATAACTGGAAAAATAATCACATTTGTCTCTTTAACCATATAAAATCATCAGGATCAATGGAATCTGTGGGTGCTATTGAAATGTTTGGACAATCTGTGGAGAAGTATAAACTAAGGTATACATCTTATATAGGAGATGGAGATACATCTTCATACAATGATGTTAACAAATCTCAACCATATGGACCTAATGTTACTATTAATAAAAAAGAATGTGTCAGATATGTTCAAAAGCGTATGGGAACACGACTGCGAAACTTACGCCAATCAATGAAATTAAATGTATTGTCGGATGGGGGAAAAATATTGGATAAAGGACGATTAACTGATAAAGCTATAAATACTTTGCAGAATTATTATGGTACTGCCATAAGGCAAAATCTTAACAGCATTTATGAAATGAAAAAGGGTATTTGGGCAACACTTTTCCATAACTCAGATATTCTTGATGAAACTGAACGACATAAGTTTTGTCCTCGAAACGTAAATAGCTGGTGCATGTGGCAGTCAAATAAACTAACAGGTAAATCAACTTACAAAGCTAAATTAAATCTTCCATTAGCAATAAATGAAATTTTAAAACCCATCTTTCAAGACTTGAGCAGACTGTCCATGCAAACATTTATTATCTTTATTTTAATAATTTTTGAAAAAATTGATTATCTTTTAAAGAATTTATAATTTTTACACAAAAGTGGTAGAAACTCTAGTTAATAGTACTACTAACATACCCTGAAAATTTGAAGTCCACAGCATTTGTAAAACTTGTGTAATCACGTTTGAAAATTTATTAAAATGGCTGCTTAATTGTCTAATTAGTCCTTAATTACTTTTTTTTTTTCAAAATTTTCAATTAAAAATAAAAGTTTAATTGGTATCAAATAAAACCTAATTGCAATTGGTGTTTAATAGCATTAGTTTAAGCAACTTTATTTTAAGAGGATCTGCTACCTTAAGAAGAATAGAGTGATAAAGAAAAAAAGACCAATAAGGAAGAAGAGGCGAAGAAGAAGAGATCGATAAGGAAGAAGAGACAGACGAAGAAGAAAGTGCTTTTTACAAGGCTTATTATAGGGCTTGAATAATAGACTTAATAAATTGTGGTGTTAATTTGCCTGAATACTATTATGAATAATATTAATTCACTAACATTTTAATTTTAAGTAAATTAATATTTTGATAAATGCTTTTTTATATAAATTGATTAATTTTATTTTTGTTTTTGCACCAAAATTCATATTATGTTTTGTGTATAACTGATTAAGATAAAAAATTTGTTTCTATGGAAATAAATAAAGCGATTCCAATAATACTTAACAAATTGTTGTTAAACATCACCAAATGCATCAAAAGTACTCGAATTTAAAATTGTTATAAAAACTATAAAAACTTAATAATTTGAACTGAATTTTTTTAATTGTGTCATATATCATTTGTAGTATAGGAAAAAAAATATATATATATATATATTTCTACACCTCATGCGGTAGTAAAGTAATACATGAAAAAATGCGTTTTTTCAAAAAATTCACAATTAAAATAAAAATGTTTGAAATCAAAAAAGTAATGAACGTATGAAAGCAATAAAAATAAATTTTTTTAACCTAGCAGCATGACTTAATTATTGGTATTTATAAAAAAGTTTAAATTTTTCGCATTTATATTTATTTTATACAAATTATAAACATTCAGAATATTAGACCAAAAAAAAGGTTGCGTGTTAGTAGCTAAAAATTTATCATAATGCATGAATATATACAACTGAATTTTTTTTATGAGGTGTTACTATATAACTATATATACTAAATAACTACTATATACTAAATAATATATATTAAATATATACTAAATATATACTAAATATATATACTAAATAACTACCGCGGCATTAGCATCATTCCAATCTTTACGAAACTAATAGAATATCTTATCCTAATAATCTGTCCAGAAACAAAAGAAACTCATCCTCTTCAATTCGGTTTCACTAAAAGTAGCTCAACCCTACACGCTGAATTTGTTATTAGTGAAACAATTAGGTACATCAATCAATGGAAACTATACGGGTGTTGTAGCATATGCTGATGACATTATACTCCTTAGCTCTACCCTCTCTGGCCTACAAAAGCTTAT